GAGGTTTCTGCAGATCCTACGCGAGATCAATCAACACAAGAATGCATATCATGATGCTTCACATGCAAAATGACTCATGACATTCTTGAAATTCATACATATTCGCAAATATATTTTTCATGCATTCTTCACATTCATCACACACAATAATCATACATTCCCAATGTATATTGTATTCATCATTCATCACAATTACCATGCATTTTTATTCAATTCTAAACAATGCACATGATTTGCCCAAAGGCCATGATTCACAATCGATTCATACACTAGGATTCACGCCTTACGGCTACCCACAACACGACAATTAATAACACACAAGTTATTCATACGAGACGAGACTGATCGCAACCAGACGCTCTAGCTAATTAAGCTTCTCTCGCTCAAAATCGTTAATTCTGATTAATCGGTAAAATCAGCTAAAAATAATATTTCTTTTCACCAAGTTATAGAACATATTATTAGTTTCAGTTTGATATAAAGAACGTCAAAATCCGATAAACTGTGAAAAAATTATGAATTTTTGAAGTTTTGAAAAATAATATTTTCTCACACTTACAGTGTTAATCGGTTAACGCATATGGTTAACCGATTAACCACTCCAAAAATTCAGTTTTTAGGCCCCTAATACTGTGTTAATCGGTTAACGTATATGGTTAACCGATTAACACCTAAAAAACTTGGAAAAACAGCTACGGGTTTGGGCTTGAAATCCCTAAAAACCCGACCGATTAAATGGTTTTCACCCGATTAAATGCCTATCCATCCTTACTAATCATATACGGACATTTTAGGGTCATAAAACTCGAATTTCACGACATCCGATTTCCACTCAAAATCTTAACTTCAAATTAACCGAAAATGGTGAAACTCATAATATCACCCGATTTTCACCAAACTAGTTTCAATAATCTTAGCCTAACATATCCCGACTAAATTACGAAAGTTATTCCCGATTCTAACCGTTCAAACATCGGTTTCTATCGATTAATTCCAAATTCGACCTAGAATGAAAACTATACAAGAACACCCAAACAATCCAACACACATACACAATCATACACGTTGATTAGGATAATAATATTTCACACCCTTACCTTAGATTAATCGAAGCCAGAGGGTGTTCTTGAAGAATCCAAGCTTTTCCTCATCTCCTTCTCTTTTCTCTTCTTCCTCTTTCTTTCTCTTCTCTTCTCTTATGTTTTCTATTCTTTTCTTTTCTTTCCACTTCCTCATATATATATCTTTCTCTTTATTTCTTTCCAATATATTTTCTCTCTCAAAACATCTATCAATCCATTTAAATAATCATCTAATTATTCAAATAATTAGAATAATCCAAATAAATCAATTAATTAACACAAATAATTAATTATTGAAAATTGGACTGTTACAACAAACGTTAGTGCTCACGCGGGTATGTACACGAGTATGTGATTTTTTTTAAACCGCGGGTTTGGTGACAGATACTATAGTACCCTATCCACTGTCATCTCTAGGTTAATCCAAATACTTGTATATATAGAAAACTATATTTATGCTCCAAATAAAAATAAAAAATATAATTTTCTTATAAAAATAACAAATTTTATTGGTTAAATAATTTTATCTTTCTGTTTTTCATTCTTATTATATTTTAAAAACAAATGCGCGTAACACACAAGTACTCGAACGTACGCACGAGTATCCAGACCTAAATTTGTTGTAACTTACGAGTTATTACATTTTTTTTTTTACCATTCAAGAATATAAAAGTAAATATATTTAAAATAATGTATAAATTCAAATATGAGAAAAATGTGTTTTTTAAATTATTTATGTTACTAATATTTTTATTTTACAATTATTCTTAATTTAAGATATAATATTTTTAAAGATAATATATGAAAAAATGAACTATATATTATTGATGTAATCATTTTACAAATATGTTCTGACCTGGGCTCCGGCTTGACCGGGCAGGCCCAGCCCAATGATATTCTGCCAAGCCCAATCCAGCTTGAGCCATAGTCGTCGAGCACAGGGTCCCCGCCGGGCAGGCAATGCCCCTCCGCGGGCAAAACCTTCTCCCTTGTCGAGCAGAACAATGTGTCTTTCACACGTGTTCCACGTTTCCCCCTCCGCGGGGACACATCATCCACCAACTGCCCACCTCCGAAAGAGCAGGTCAACCCACTTTCCGGAGTTCACGGAGCAATTGAACTAGGGCGAAGACCACGTTCTGGTCTTCATTACGCCACGTAAGCCCTAACAGCCGCTTGGGTTGGGCCTGGCCATCCAGTCCAACTCAAATGACCGTTGGCCCTGCGCTGGGGTCTCTCTATAAATACCCTTTTCTCCAAGAGGGTCAGATATTCACTTCTTACCCCTTTTCTGTATTTGCTATCACTCTGCCCCAACTCTTACTTTGCCATTAGAGTGTCTTGCAAGTACACCCCCATCTCCTTTTCAACACCGATGAACAAGCTGTAGATTAACGACGTGTGGCAAGTCCTTGGTCCCATTCTGATCCGGTCAGATCATATGTTATTAATGACAAATGATATTTTTAAATTAATGAGTGAATCTTAACATTTTTTTTATAAATGAGAACAAATTTTTTTATCTAATTTTTTTTATAAGTAATGTCAAAACAAAAAAAATATTAAATACACAAAAATATATTGTTCATCAAAATATTTTTTTATATGAAAAAATTATATTTATGATCTGTATATAAATTAAAATATGTACTTTTTTTTTTTAAATAATAAACTTTTTGGTAAAAAAAAATTTGTTCTGGACTGGGCCGAGGCTTAGCCCACAATCGGACAGGCCTAAACTCCATTGAGGTTGGGCCCAATAAGACCACGCTGTCGAGCTGGGACCCGGAGGCACAACACTCATCCGAGCAGGGCGAAGGCCCTCATCGGCCGAGCAGGACCCTGGCTGCCGACCATCCAGCTTCGCCTCTTCTCATTGTCGGCCAGGACCCTCACGTCCAACTAGACGGCCAAGTCTGGCCGGGGAACTCCTCAAGGCTTCCCCCACGATCTCCATGTGCCCCTCACGCAGGGACACGCCATAAGGTAACTTCCCACTTCCGAAAGATACGGTATTCCTCCTTCCGGATAGTGCGGAGCAGTTACACTAGGGCGTAAACCACGTGCTGGTCTCCGCGATGCCACATCAGCTCTAACAGTTGTCAACATTGGGCCTGACAGCCCAACTTAGTGCTTGGCAACCGTTGGCCCTGCGTTGGGGTCTCACTATAAATACCCTCTTCACTAGAGGGTCAGATAACTTAATCTTCCTACTCTCTCTTTGTACTTGCGTCCACTCTGCCTGTCACTTACTTTGGCATTGGAGGAGTGTGTTTCAGGTACACCCCCTCCTCCTCTACAACACCCTGGTGAGCAGCATTCAAATCTTCGACGCGTGGCAGATCGTTGATCCCTTCTGGTCAGGTACGATCAAAATTGTTTTTCCTCTTCTACATTCGTATCATATTTTAAAGGTAAATGCGCATAACACATTAGTATCCGTGCGAACGCACAAATATTTCTTTAATTTTTCTTAAAAAATAGCACCACTATTTTTAAAATATAAGTTTAAACGTACCTCTTAACTTTTATCATTTGATTTGATTTTATATTTAATTTATTAACAAAGCTCTTAATCCTTATCATTTGATTTGATTTTATATTTAATTTATTGACAAACCTGATTTTAAAAATTATAAATAGTAAACTTTCTCATTTGTCAACTTCAACTTTCTCATTCTTCATTTTCTTCTTTTCATTCAAATTTCCAATCTCCCCACATTTCCTTTTCCTTGCCATTTTTCACTTTTGTTATATTTTTTTTCCTTTTTTCTTTCTTTATTTAAAAGTTAAAAAAGAAAATTTTCTTTCTTTAATAAAAAATATTGAAAAAAAATTCTTTCTTCCTTAAATAAAAAATATTTAATGTTAAAATAATAACTTTTTTTCTTAAATAAAAATTTTAAAATTAAAATAATGAAATTTCTTTCCTTAAATAAAAAATAGTTACAATTAAAATAATAAATTTTCTTTCCTTAAATAAAAAATATTGAAAAAATTCTTTCTTTAACTAAACTTTTATTTCTTTATGAAAGAAATTTCTTTCCTTTTTCAATATTTTTTGCTTATATAAAAAAAAAGAAAGAGATTCATTTTACAAAAAATATTCATTGTTTTCAATTAATTGAAAATAATTAATTTCGATAATTTTTTTCGTTCATCAAATATTTAAAAAAAAATTCTTAATTATTAAATTAATAAATTGTTTAGAAAATTGACAAATCGTTATCAACACATATTTATTCTATTTTTAATTAATAAAATTTTATTTATTTCACAACTCAATTTTTTATATAATTATTTAATTTAATTTATATGATCATTTGTTCATTTGATAATCAAATATTTAATTTTAAATTTGCTTATATATATATATATATATATATATATATATATATATATATATATATATATATATATATATATATATATATATATATATATATATATATATATATATATATATCGTGTAAAATAAAATTGAGACACAAATATCTTACTAATTTCAGAGAAAAATAAAAGAATTGATTTAATAATTGATTGATTTATTTATCATTTAGTGAAATGTCGTGTCACCATAGTCTTCAAAATGTGACTTTAGAACTAAGTTATTTTTGAACTCACTCATACCGTACAAGCGAACGCGCAAAATGACGATTTCACCCACCAGAAAAAAAATAAAAAACCGTTTAATACGAGTTTGGTTCGTTCGTTCCTCCGTCTCTTTATATTCCATTTTTGTATTGCTGTTAACGTTGGTTTTCCATTCATTTCATACCCACATTTTTGGACGCGCATTCTTCATCTCCAAAAAAAAAACTCTTCTGATCTAAAACCATAAACCTTCGTTCCCTCCCAAATCTCATTCCCTAAAACCGATTCTGATTTCGATCTCAGATTTTCTATTTTCGATCCAAAATGGCGACGATGACGAGCTTGATCGGTCTTATCAACAAGATCCAACGAGCTTGCACCGTCTTGGGAGATCACGGCGGTGAGGGTTTATCTCTTTGGGAAGCTCTTCCGTCCGTTGCCGTCGTCGGTGGACAAGTAAACTACTTATTCTCTTGTTTCCTTTAAATCAATTTCGTTTTGCTCAAATTCAAATCTCATTTGTTGAATGTGTATCAGAGTTCAGGGAAATCGTCTGTGTTGGAAAGTGTAGTTGGAAGAGACTTTCTTCCTCGTGGATCTGGTATTCTTCACTTTCTTTCTTTGCTTACCGTTTTCTGCTTTCGTATTTTGTTCATTTGAATTTTTGACTTAGATCTAGTTTTTTCAACTGTGAATAGCAATGACAATGACAATGTAGTTCAGAAATTTGTAAGTTATAGTTATTGATTCATGTATAGTAGTCGATAAATGATGCCATGCTATGCTGAGTAGTAGTTACTGTTTATCGAATCGGTCAAATTTGGATTGACTTATTTGGACTTGTGACGATTGACTTACATGGACTTTGTGAGACTGTATGCTCAAAAATATTTTTCAACTTATTTCCACAAGTCTCATCTAGATAGCTTGGGAAAACGACCAATAGCTATATGTTAAGCTTTATTTTATCTTCTGATATAAATATCTTTTGATTTTAGTGGAGGATTTTCTTTTTATTTTTAAAATTTTTGTTTCTTTAAACAAATGGCTTTTTGACTTTGTCTATCATTACTTACAAGGTATTGTTACACGAAGGCCGCTGGTACTGCAACTTCATAAAACTGAAAATGGCCAGGAATATGCAGAGTTTCTTCACTTACCAAGAAAGAGATTCACTGACTTTGGTAAATGAAGTTTCTAACTAAATATCAACTAAATGAACTTTATTATTTTGTTTCAAAAAGATATGCAATAATGAGTAGCTAAGATATGCAATAATGAGTAACTAAGATATGCATGAAATGTTTCGTTTTTATAGTAACACGCCATTATTATTTGAAACCATGAAGACTTAATGGACAATTTATCCTCACGAGAGTGGTAGATTTGACCACCATCAAACTTTAATTTCAAACTGACACTCAATTATAGTACTTGCCTAGTGTATTTAAAATAGAGGCCAGGATTGTGTCAATTATTTAGTTTGGCTAACAAGTAAAAAGATTTTAGTAATTCGTTATGTTGTGTAAATTCCCAGCTAATTGGTTATTTTCTGCTTTTTTTTTAATGTCCATGCAGCTGCTGTGAGGAAGGAAATAGCAGATGAAACAGATCGAATAACTGGGAAGTCAAAGCAGATTTCAAATCATCCTATTCACCTCAGCATTTATTCTCCAAATGGTTTGTAGCTGCATTGTCCATGTATATCATGATAGATTAAACATGAATCCAATTTGATTGGGGGCTTTTAGAATTGTGTCGAGTTGCCTTTTTATGTCCTTGATATCATTGAGAAGCAACAGGTACTCCATAGCACACTTTTTTCAAGACAATTGGGGTAATTTTCACGTAGATCCCACTCAAAATTCTGAGGTCCAAAATAAGCTAAATTTTATACTAATGCTTGTGGAATTCTAAACTTTAAAATTCTTTTGTCCTTTTCTAGTGGTGAATGTTTTGTAAATTAAACTAACTATGATTTGTTTGATAAGGTAATCATTTCAACTAGACTCTGGCCAAAATTTTAAGATTTAGTCCTGTCTAGGTTGTTGATTTAGATTTTGTATTAATGCTATGCAATCTCAAACATTGGTTTAGATTTTGTATTAATGCTATGCAATCTCAAACATTGGTTTAGATTTTGTATCATTGTAAACAACTATTGCTTCAAAAAGTGTTAGTTTGGTATACTAAACTGACAGGGGATTAGCTTTTTTTTTGTCTGAATGTTTTTCACACCATGTTGCACTTTCTGCTTACTTGAAAATCACAATCAATTTCCTGAGGCTGAAAAACATTAGATTTCTCTTTTAATCTGCTCTCCCTTTGTTGGGAAATGGGAATGTGAAAGCACATGGTTTCTTTTTCATTAATAGTGCCTTCTTTCGAAATGAGTCTTTGGTTTGAGATATCAGTTGTATGACTATCTTTTGATTGGGGCTTTATATGCAGTTGTAAACTTAACCCTCATAGATCTTCCTGGGTTGACGAAGGTTGCCGTAGGTAAGCCTGAATATATATCCCAATACTTTAGAAATTGAGTGGTATTCTAAGTAGACTTGTGAAAATCTCTGATATGTACTGATATTTTGTCTATTTTCAGAGGGACAACAAGAGAGTATTGTTCAAGATATTGAAAACATGGTCCGATCGTATGTTGAGAAGGTAATTATATTCTTGTTATGAATGGAAGAATGCAGTAGTTTATGTTGTTCGTTTCTTTTAAGTTAATGGAGAAAGTGAAGATCCATTCTTTATAACATTCTTCTATCTGGATTAGTTGTCATCACAATTTGCTCATAATCAGTCATAAGTTCACTGTCAGTCTGATATGTATTTCTCTTCCGGACTGACCATCTTATATCTTAATGCTAGAATCTGTAAACCATACCAGAACATATCTTTGGATATAATCTAATATATGGCAACTGGCAAGGTTTATAAGACATTGATTTACAAGTACTTCATTGTTGTTGTAAAGAAGAATCAATAGACCCGGAGAAAAACAAACAAAATACTATATAATGACAATCAGAACGAATATGGGCTATACCAGCCTTCACCACTAAAGATAAAAAGCTCGGCATAATAGTTTGTTGTTGCAATACTTTTTGGTAATTTATGTGTCATTTTAAGCATACTGAACTTTCCTTTTGTACTGCATTTTTTTACCAAATTCAGTGTCTAATTGTGTTCTTTCATTGTGAAGCCAAACTGCATTATCTTAGCTATTTCTCCCGCCAATCAAGATATTGCCACTTCAGATGCCATAAAAATTGCAAAAGAAGTTGATCCTTCAGGTATGGCTGTTTATGCTGGAAGAATTTCAGGGATATATCAAGCGCTTCTTCCAATAGCTTCTGTGTTTCCTTTTTAGCCAACTCATGTAGAGAAAAAATTTCTTTTATCAGGTGAAAGAACATTTGGAGTGGTTACAAAACTTGATCTTATGGATAAAGGAACTAATGCAGTTGATGTATGGATTTTCTTAGAACTGTGTGCTTATCTTTTGTTTTGGTGATTGGTAACTATGATTGATTTCTATGTAATTGAGTGTGAAATTGTAGTTTATCATTCAGTGCAAAATGATGGATGTTCTTTATGTGAAACATGAAGGTTCTTGAGGGAAGGCAATACAGGCTGCAGCATCCATGGGTTGGAATTGTGAACCGTTCACAAGCTGATATTAATAAAAATGTTGACATGATTGCCGCTCGAAGGAAGGAACGTGAATATTTTGAGACAAGTCCTGAATATGGACATTTGGCGCATAAAATGGGCTCAGAATATCTTGCCAAGCTTCTATCTCAGGTATTTTCATTTGGTATTTTTGTTTTATTGTGTCACTAAACTTATTCTCATTTGGTATTTTTGTTTTATTGTGTCACTAAACTTACTATGGATTTCTAATTCATTCGATGATAAGTGATTTTATTTCTTTTTGTGCATTGTTTTTGTGATTTCAGCATTTGGAACAAGTTATTAGGCAGAAGATACCTAGTATCATTGCTTTAATAAACAAGACCATTGACGAGCTTAATGCAGAGTTAGACCGCATTGGCAGGCCGATTGCCGTGGACTCTGGGGTCAGAAACAAATTCTACAATGAAATTGTTTTTCTTTTATTTGAAATGTGTAATTTCTGTTTGTACAGTTATACTAAGTTGTACTACCTATTTATGTAGGCCCAACTATACACTATTTTAGAAATGTGTCGTGCATTTGACAAAGTATTTAAAGAGCACCTGGATGGAGGGTAGGTGCTTGTAGTATGCTATTGTTTTCCTTTTTATAGAATAATATAAAACTATTCCCCTCTATTGTTAACATTCTTGGAGAACTAATCTATATTTGATCAATTCACCAACTTCCATTTCAGGCGTCCTGGTGGGGATCGGATATATGGAGTTTTTGATCACCAATTACCGGCTGCTTTGAAAAAGCTACCCTTTGATCGCCATCTTTCCTTAAAAAATGTCCAAAAAATTGTCACTGAAGCTGATGGGTATCAACCTCATCTGATTGCTCCAGAACAGGGTTATAGAAGACTTATTGAAGGGTCTATCAGCTATTTCAAAGGCCCAGCTGAAGCCTCTGTAGATGCGGTAATCTTCTTGACTTCACTATATGTTACATTCTGTCATTATTCCTCGGTCTCTTATATATGGTTGGTGGAATTACTGAATTTTAATTTGAAATACTTGATTATTTAGTCATCCTTCACACCTACTTGCTTTCTTTATTTTGAAAGAATGCTTTTATCTCCTTTCAACTTTCAAGTAGTTCATCTGTATGAACTTGGTCATGCAAGAGGTAACTAAAAAGGATTTCATGATCAAATGGAGTTTGTTTAAAATAATAGGCAAATATAATTATTTATGACCATACAATTCCATCTATTAAGAATGCCTTGTTCTTTATTTTCAAAAGAATGCTTTTATCTCCTTTCAAGCAGTTCATCTTTACAGTTATGATCATGCAAGAGGTAACTTGAAAGGATTTCATGATCAAATAGAGTTAGTTTAAAATAGTAAGTCAAAATAGTTTTTCATGATCACACAGTTCCATCTATTAAGAATGCCTTGATATTTTTCTCTTTTCTGCCACATTGTTCCAGATATGGGTCATTGATCAAACCGAATTTGAATGCCCCAGAAATCCTGCCGCCGTTCGTTTTGCCCTATGTATCTCTTTTTTGATGATATGTCATTTCCTGAAGATGGAATTGTTACTTTGAAATTACATTTCTTCGTACCCTTTGCTTTATGTTCTTGCTGTTTTTTATGCAAGTGAGGGTATGCTCTTTCCATTTTTAAATTACGTGTGCTATCTTTTATTCTTCAGGTCCACTTTGTTTTAAAGGAACTTGTACGAAAGTCAGTTGCAGAAACCGAGGTAAGGAACATGAAGTTGATATAACTTTTTTTCAACAGTTCGTAACTTTCAAATATAGACGTGCAAGTTGGATGAGGCTCTTCTTATTTCACATTTAATTTCATCCTTGGCAGCTTTGATTATTAGTGTTTCTTTTATGCTGAGAAAAGATAGTGAATGTTCAAAAGCTAATGATGCTAGGTATTCATATATCAGAACTAAATTACTGATGTTGGATGCTGCTCAGGCCTATAATTTACTTTAGGATTTAATGGGAATTACTGATTTTTTGGGGGGAAGGATGGAGGGGGAACCTACGGAAACCTGAAACTGAGTCTTACAGATGTGCTATTTCATGGTGTGCAGGAGTTAAGAAGATTCCCAACGCTTTCACATGATATTGCAACTGCTGCAAATGAAGCTCTGGATAGATTCCGAGACGAAAGCAAGAAGACAGTTTTGCGGTTGGTTGATATGGAGTCTAGCTATCTAACTGCAGATTTTTTTAGAAAGATTCATCTCGAACCAGAAAAAAACCCAAATGGACCACCAAATTCAAACCGGAATGCTCCCCCTAACACGGACAATTTTACTGACAATCACCTCCGCAAGATTGGTACTTAATTTTCTACTGGCCTTTTCTTAACATACAAGTATAAATTGCATTCATCAAGTATATCATATTAAAGGATTGGTTTTGCTGGAACAGACCTTTAAATTTTACATTCTTATAACAAACTTACTTTTATATATAGGACCTATTCCTTTGAACGAAGTTATAACATTATAAAAGTTATTTTTATACATATATTTTTAAACCCGTATTTTTTTAATGAAAATATGACCTATTATATAACTATTGTAGACAGCACTCTTACGTTATACTTTAAAGAAGTTTAATCAAGACTTAAACAAATACTATTTTTCATAAGCTAATTAAAATAACTTGTTTACAAGGTCATTCCCACTAGAATAATTGAAATGTGTTTAAAAATATTAACTAAAACATCCAATGAAATACATTTATCCCTCTGCTTCCATAAATTGTGTAAGCTCTTTTTCCTATAATAAAAGCAAGATGCATTATATTTTTTGCCTTTCATGTCTGTTTCTAAAGGTAGTTTGAAGTTATGTCATGTATCTACTAATTTTGGATTTTGATTCTACACTGTTTAAGCAGATCTGCTTATCAAAAAAAAAAAAAAAGATATGTGAAGTTAGACATTTGACTAGGTTAAATATATTATGTTCCTTGTTTCAGGATCAAATGTAAGTGCTTATATCAACATGGTCTGTGATACACTTAAGAATACTATACCAAAAGCCGTAGTCTATTGCCAAGTCAGAGAAGCCAAGAGATCACTGTTAAACTACTTTTACGTCCAAGTTGGAAAGAAGGAGGTATAATTTTATTACTTTATGTCAAAATTTTTGCCCATATAACACAATTTCCTTTCATTCCTTTAACATGTTATCTTTATGGTATAAATAAGTTATAATAACTGAAAACTGATTGCATGATACACAGAAGGACAGATTGGGTGCCATGTTGGATGAAGACCCAGCTCTAATGGAAAGGAGAAATCAAATAGCTAAAAGACTTGAATTGTACAAGCAAGCTAGAGACGATATTGACTCCGTGGCCTGGAAATAAGGAAGATCCCACTTTTTACAACAGATACTATGGCTTTGAAATAGGGAAGATCCCACATATTATAACAGATACGAATACTGTGAGGAAGATTTGCCACATATTTTCTTGTTTTTATATTTTTCCAATCAAACTCAGCAGAATGGTCTTCCAATTGTCTACGCTTACATGAAATTGATTTGCACATGCATATATTCTTTTGGCCCAGTGTATAAAGCCACTGAGTTCTACGTTGTGATTTTATGTATAACTATAGATAGAGATGTTGGTTGTTGGACTTTTTCTCAACCATGATGATTTTTATTATTACTATGAAAGATTATTATTGTTATTTTGACTGAATGTTGATTCTTTTAGAAGAGCTTACCATTCTATATTCTCTGTTAGTATATAACAAAAAAGATTATTATCGTTATTTTGACTGAATGTTGATTCTTTTAAAAGAGCTTATCATTGTAAGTCTAGTATATGACAAAAAGATTGCTATTGTTATTTTGACTGAATGTTGATTCCTTTATAAGAGCTTATCTTTCTAAGTATATTATTTCATTCTCCGCAAGTTTATGAAGAAAAAAAGAAGCTTGAAGTAGAGGCATCAAAATTAGTACTTCGAATATAATAGTTGTAACAAATTTATTTAAGTTAGACTATATTGCAAATAGGAACAACATAACTCTTCATCTTCAACCGTTGGACATAATAAAACGAAAAAATAGTTACTTAAAACTCAGTCTCTACAATCTAAAAGTTGGTCCATTCTTTTCTACGGTTCGAATTACATCTTTATTTTGACACTAACATACGAGTTTCACATTTTTTGAGATGAACACTTGAGTGGTTGCTTTGACAGCACTAAACATCGCTTTTGAAGAATAGCTCTGTTTAGAATCCAGAGGCCGAAAAATGCGTTGGTACTATCAAAAATATTAAATAGGGCTGAAAAATTCACAGTCAGTTTTTTTTAACATTCTTGTTTTTGACAACTTTTGATAAGTATAAGAATTTTTTTTTTTTTTACAAATTCATCAGGTCGAATAGAGGTTAGAATGATTAAATTGTTTAATTTGAATAATATAGAGTTGCTTTGGTCAGACTCGAAACATTATTTTAGATCTTCAACAAACGTATGCGACCGAACTGATATACTATTTATTTTATTTATAATCTTATGAAAAATGCAAGACATGCAATAAAATTGAGTGTTATTTAATTTGTGATTTAAAGTATAATAATAATTAAATTAATTTAAATGATATTAAAAATATTATTGTAATAATGTTTTCTTTTCATTAAAAATAAAATAAAATAGTTTTTTTTTGTGCTATTCTAAAATTTTATTTAAAAATAGATGTGAATTTTATAAAAAAAAAGTTAAACCGATGAAATCCACTCAATTTATTCGTCAAATTGATTTAATCAAATCCGTTGAAAATTGAAAATTTTATCAATTAAAATTAACTCTTTAGAATGAAATCATAATTTATGTCGAATATAAGTTTTAGGCCGATATCGACTAAAATCGTCTGATTGTCCAACTCTAACCAGAACCGTTGTAAAGTTTAAAAAAATCAAAATTTAAAGATGATTATTAAAATTTATTGGAGAAAATTGACATGATACAGTAGATACCATAAAAATCTTAAAATTAACACAAATGAAATACGGTATCATTATAAATGTTTAATTTATAATAATGTATCATATCATTTGTTAATCTATTTTTTTTTATCATTTAGTAAAAGGTGTATGAATGATATAAGGATGACATAATATTGTACAAACAATGTTGTAGAAAACGTTTTTAAATAGTGTATGAATTTGAAAGCGTTGCATAGCTGTTGAAGATTATTATGGATATTATTCACTATAATTTATTGCAGAAATTATTATACTTATTGCATGTAATGGAGAATTAGGGTTTAGGTAATATATATATATATATATATATATATATATATATATATATATATATATATATATATATATATATATATATATATATATATATATATATATATATATATATATATATATATATATATATATATATATATAATCTTATCGGATCAAAAAGGGGATCAACAGTCAGCAACACGTCGTGAATTTCAAGTTTATTGGTAATGGAAAAGAGGAGGGAGAGTGTACCTGCAAGACACTCCGATACTAAAGTGAGAAATGGAGTGAAAGAGAGAGGAAGTGCAGAAAGCGAGTGAGTTTAGAATACCTGACCATTATGTGGAGAAGGGTATTTATAAAGTGCCCCCAGCGCTGAGCCAACGGTCATCTGTTTTGGGCTGGATCGCAAGGCCCACAACAAACGACTACCAGGATCCTACGTGGCAGTATGGAAGACCTGCGTGTGGTCTTCGTCCTGGACCAACTGCCCCACGATCTTCGGGGAGTAGAGGATCTGTTCTCTCGGACGTGGGTAGTTGGTTGATGATGTGTTCCCGCGTGGGGAGCACGTGGAGGACGCATGATGAACATGTGGGGTGTGTGGTCTCCAACGGTTATGCAAACTAGGGCCTGTGTTAGGCCCTCTTCAACGTGGAGTTGGGTTGGGCCGTGCCCGATGGTGGGCCAGCCTCAGGCTCAGTCCAAAACAGGAGCCCCCTAAGTCGTTGCTTCTAGTTAAGAGAGTAATGACTTAGAGTCAGTACACATGTTGAGGATAGATGAAGGTAATCAATTCAAGGAGAGCATTTGTCGGGTTCGTGGCTGTGAGCTCGCGAAGAAGCGTGGAAGTTGGTCCTCGTTCCCGACAGAGCTATCATGAGCGAGATTTCCAGGAGTGGATGCCCGCGTGTGTTCGACAACAGGATTCAACTTGGTTATCATGAGGACACGTGCTCGCGAGGACATGATTCAGCTTGTTGCTCTTAAGGATACACGCTTGCGAGGGCCCAAGGCCGCTGTCAGTGCCCGACAATATAACCTATTTTAGAGCTTTCCTTGAGGACGTGCTCGTCGACACAACGTGGGAGTCGGGTATTACGGGTAAGGTTTGTAATGACGAAATTTGGGATAAGAAGGGGGAGGTGGATGAGACAAACACGTCACTTCCTCGAGCCGCGTGTTAGGCATTGAAAAGACAAGGGTGACGTCTTCTTAAGCCACGTGTCAGAAGTAATAAATGCCACTGACGACCTATGAGTAGGGGTGCTTGAATGCCTAGGTGACAATTCGCCTCTCGTGCTAGCATGTAGTATAAGGAGAATGAGCTCATTTGTTCGCTCTCAGTATTCAAACTCTTGCACGAATTTCTCAAGTTTTCTGCTCATTCCATTTCTCGTTCGCCGCCGCCGCCATCATTTTTTATCACGCCACCGTAGCTTTACAGAACCTCCTTCACACACGTAATTTTCCGCCGTCCTTTCTAGATAGCATGGTAGTGGTTAGCTCTGGACGCTTGAGGACTTCACAGTGAAGTTACGCATTTTCTAGTAATTTCTATGAATTTTTCGGCGTGTTCTTGAATTTCCGACGAACTCCATGAAGTTTTTGGGGACTCATGAAGTTTTCGGTGATGTTTCCGGGGAGCTCATGAAGATTCTGGGGAACCCATGAAGTTTACGATGAAGATCCTGGGGAACTCATGAGGATTCTGGGAAACTCATGAGGTTTCCGATGAAGGCCTTAGGGAACCCATGAGGCTTTAGCGTCCTCGTCGGGGAGACTCCCTCCCCGTAGGGGTCTAGAAACTGTTAAAAAGTCTCATATCGAAGAGGTTTGTTCCCTTTGAAGGTCCTGATACAAAGTTTTTGTGTCGAGGAATCCCTTCCCACGCGGTAGGTTTCATGTCTTGCGTCGAGGTGTCCCTCACGACCACAACTCGTTGGCAAGACTCTGGTCGAGGATGTACCCTCAAGTTTTTCTTCGCCCTTTCACTTGATTTGCAGTGGAAGGATAGATTTGATCTTAAATATTGAATTCACCGTTTTCCTCTGCTTTTTAGGTCAAATGGCTGCAAAGCCCAAGGACGTTGCCATGGTCGACGAGCAGGAAGAAATTGACCTGGTCGACACAAATGTCCAAGCCGTAAAAGTTGAATTACCGCTGGATTGGGTCAGGCAGGAGCCCCACAATATCACCTCACATTTCTTTTTTGATGACTTAGACGCCTTCATGACAGTCGAGGACTGAGAACAAAGGGCCTCTTCAAACTAGGATACCTACAAGCCTAGGGAAGTAGGGAAAACTCACAATAAATGACTGCCAGGATCCTACGTGGCAATAGGGAAGACCCGCGTGTGGTCTTCGTCCTAGACCAACTGCCCCGCGTGCGGTCTTCGTCCTAGACCAATTGCCCCGCATGCAGTCTTCAAATATATTTCGCGAGACACCACAACAAATGGTATCACAGAGATAATGGATAGGTTTCTAACTTAACAGGAAAAATGTATCTTGTTAAATGTTGGACTATCAAAAGGTTTTTGGACAGAGGCAGATAACATGGAGTGTTATCTTATCAGTAGGTCATCACAAACTTTATTGAAGGAGAAGGATACATGTATGGACATGTAATCCTATTAATCTTGACAATTTAAGGATTTTTAAGTGTCTAACTTATGTGCATATATTTAATGAAGATCTATTCAAACTTGATCCAAAGTCGAAGAAGTGTGTCTTAGTCTGTTACACAAAAGGTGTGAAAGGAATCAAGTTATGGGATCCAATTAAAATGATGATGATAATCAGCAGAGATGTTATTTTTGATTAAGCAGCTAGTTGCAACAAATGTATCAACATCCAAAGGAGAAAATTATAACAAACACGTGATTCAAGGGATGTTGATCCGCTATCGATGAACAATTTATAGGTAGTGCATGAATAACAGAAGGAACCATGCTCTGATGCTGAAATAGACCACGAACCTAAAGATTCAAGTGGAGTACAAGATTATATTCTTATACGTGACAAAGAATCTAACGCCCATTTAATTTTAATTATTTTTGTAATTAAAATTATATGATTCTATTTGATTGTATGTGACTTTGTGTGTT